AGGAGGAGAAGAGGAGGAGGAGGAGGAGGAGGAGAAGGAGGAGGAGGAGGAGGAGAAAGAGGATGAGGGGGAGGAGGAGAAGGAGTTGGAGGAGTTGGAGGAGTTGGAGGAGGAGGAGTTGGAGGAGTTGGAGGAGTTGGAGGAGGAGGAGGTGGAGGAGGAGGAGGAGGCGGACTAGCCATTTGCCCCGATCGCTGACCCCCTGAAACGACAGTGGAACATATACATTGCAACGGTTGAGAGCGCCTCAGTGCCCGAGGTTTGCAGCGACCGCTTGTCTTGATCGGTTCTAGACATGGCCGAATGGTTACAATCATGGAGGCGGAGAAACTGTGCTGCTCACACGGATCATACTCGAACGCGCCAAACCATAATGGCCTGCACCACAACTGACAACAACGCGCACATGTTCGACAATCACGCGGAGGCGTGCGTATGGATGAGTGTGATATCACTGCGATAGGTCAGTGGCAGTATTCTTGACAGTTGCGAACATGATCGTAGTGTGCGCTAGCCCGCTGAGCGAGAAAACGCAACCAACGGGCGCCACGCAGAACGGGGCATGCGAACCACCATCACCTTCGATTCGAAACTGCCGTGTCGAGAACTGCAACAGAGCAGCACACAGCGTGCGTGTTCAGATGCAGTATCGGGGGCGGCAAAAAGAGGGGTGTCCAAGAGGGGGGGTGCAAATCGTGGCCGGCGGCATGTGCGCGGCCCAGGGGGGGGGGCCAGGGACGTAGCAAAATTAGAAGAGGCGCCATGAATTCTGGGGAAATATCATGGCCCCCGCCATGATATCCCTCCCCCCCTAGTCATCACCCCCCTCTTTGCCGCCCCCGACAACGACAGCGTGGCCCGGTCGGGCGCGGAGCCGACCACGCCTCCGCGGCAGGCGGGACCGCTGCGCTCCGTGCGGAAGCAGCTCGGCGCAGCGCCGGGCGCGAGGCGGCGGAGAGCGCCGCCCCGCACCCCCGCCCGCGGGGAGCCGCCTCTGCCGAGCTCTCGCCGCGGCACTCGCCCCGTCGTCCCCCGGCTACTTCCTCTTGACGAGCCTGATCGGCTACTCCAGATTTCGTAATAAAAGGGAGGGGGTCTCAGCCCTCCCAGACGAGAAGTTTCAGACCCCCCCCCCGTGGGAGAACCCTCCAAAACGTCGTCCCCAGACCCCCCCAGGCCCTCCAAGATAGCCTGGAAGAGACTCCCCCCGAAATGAGACCCCCCTCCCTTTATTACGAAATCTGGAGTACACGTAAGAGCGACCCTGGGTAAGAGTGACCTCTGGTGCGCGGCTCTCTGGGGGGCGCGAGGGGGCCAAGCTCAGGCGCGCAGGACGCTCATACCGCAAGGAGCGCGGCGACCGGGGGACCCCAGCGAGCGCGCACCAAGGGGTCACTCCGGCGAAGGGTCACTCTTACGTCCAGCTGACCTGATGACGGGCGGCACGACCAGGCCCACCACGGTGGTGAAAACGACACCGCACACGAGCTCGTACGTGAACGGCACGGCGAGGACGGCCGAGATCTCCAGGACCTCGGCGCTGGCGCCGGGGACTCGCCGACAAGGAGAAAGCAGGAACGGACGAACCGCCAAGCGGGGGTCGTGTCGTGAACAAAATCACGATGGACGATGGTTTTGGGCCACACTTTTGGCCTCCGAGGGGACCCTCGCTGGGCCCGGGACCGTCTCCACTAACGACTCGGAGTGACCTCGTGGCCCTGGGGACAGGGTCGGCACTGCGAGGGAGCCTGGCATCGCATGCCCCGGGCGAAGTGCCCCCTCGTCTGGCCAGGACCTGGCCGACCGCAGCGTCTCGAAGCTTTCGGTGCAGGAGCTCGACCGCAAGAACCCTCCCACGAGGAACCCAAGCCTGGAACCCCAGGACGTCCATGGATTTTTGGTGTGGGGACGTCACGCTCTCCGTGGGAAAACTAGCGAGGATCAAGAAACCCATGGCACCCTGCAGGCAAGAGGGTGTTCCTTGGCATAGGTTTCCCCTGCAGGAGCCGACGCCGACGTCGACGCCGTCCCCGCCTCGCCGCCCCCCCCTTCTCACAGCGCACGCCCGGCTCCATCCAGAAGAAATCCGCCGCGCGGATGAGGTTTCCTGCAACTCGCCATCGCTCGGACGTCCATTCCCTGTGTTTTTTTCGGTTTCGTGCGTGGTTTTTCAGCCAAATGATCCAGGATGCTCCTCGATGGCCCTCGCCGAAGAAAAAATGCACACGTCCGAGCGATGCCAAGGCAACCTGCTCCAGCTCCAGTCTCCAGTGTCATGGTGCTGCTTTCTGCTTCCTGCTTTGACTTGTTTTGCAGTCCGCGCGAGGGGGAGGGGACCGAAACACAGCCTTTGACCATCCCCGAGGTGCGTTGCCTGAATTTCTGGGGGTCTGGGACACGAGAAAATACGCCAGTAGACTCGTGCTCCCCAGGCCAGAACCTTCGTAAATATTACGCCAGCTGCGCGCTCCCGGTGCCAGAATCTCTCTTCTCAACTTATATGCCGGAACCGTACTCCCTGAGCTAGACTCCCTGGCACACTACTCCGAGTCCGCGCTCCCGAGAGCAGAATCCAGAGTACACTACAGTCAACGCGCCTAGTAAGGACGCGCGCCTTCATCTAGGGTACCCTTGTGTCCTTGCCTCTGAGGCTCGTCCTTGCCATTATTACTGGTCGCCCGCCGCCCCAAAAAACCCAACTTCGGCCTCCAAGGGTCTTGCGTCCTTATCACCCGTCCTTAATATACGTTTTGACTGTACGGATGAATCGCCCCCGAGGCCAGAATCATCCCAAATCCATCGTGGATTACGCCAAGTTCGGGCTCCCGGAGCCAGACTCCCGTGGGAAGAGAATTGCACGCGCTCCCTGGGCCAGACTCCTCTGTTATAAATTGCACTAGGCTCGCGCTCCCTCCGCCCCCGCATGATGTCCCCATGTGCCTTCAAGACGGCGCCCAGACATCTCAACATGGCTCTGCTATCTTCCATTCTCACAGAGATGGGGAAACCAAAAGAATACCGATACCGCTGCTACACCCGGTCATCTCCAGGGGTGGCCAACATTTCGAGGCGAGTCCAGCCGTGGCGACGAGGGCCTCCCAGGAAGCCCCATTACGCTACCGAGGAACCCCACATACTTATATTATGGCTGGAGTGATGATAGCAAAAGTGAAGCATGTGGGAATGACGTTGTTGGCCGTTCCCTGCGCACCCCCTATGGTGTCGAGAAAATGCCACGCCTGCTATGCCCTGGACGACCGTCGTGCATAGCGGCCGCGGTGAGGGACCACCCCCTGCGCACCCCCTATGGTGTCGAGAAAACGCCACGCCTGCTATGCCCTGGACGACCGTCGTGCATAGCGGCCGCGGTGAGGGACAACCCCCTGCGCAACCCCCTATGGTGTCGAGAAAATGCCACGCCTGCTGTGCCCTGGACGACCGTCGTGCACAACGGCCGCGGTGAGGGACCACCCCCTGCGCACCCCCTATGGTGTCGGGAAAATACCACGCCTGCTATGCCCTGGACGACCGTCGTGCATAGCGGCTGTGAGGGACGCGCACCCCTATGGTGTCGAGAAAAATGCCACGCCTGCTATGCACACGACGGTCGAGAAATGCCACGCCTGCTATGCCCTGGACGACCGTCGTGCATAGCGGCCGCGGTGAGGGACCACCCCCTGCGCACCCCCTATGGTGTCGAGAAAATGCCACGCCTGCTATGCCCTGGACGACCGTCGTGCATAGCGGCCGCGGTGAGGGACCACCCCCTGCGCACCCCCTATGATGTCGAGAAATGCCACGCCTGCTATGCCCTGGACGACCGTCGTGCAGCGGCCGCGGTGAGGGACCACCCCTGCGCACCCCCTTATGCGAGAAAAATGCCACGCCTGCTATGCCCTGGACGACCGTCGTGCATAGCGGTCGCGGTGAAGGACCACCCCCCTGCGCAACCCCATATGGTGTCGGGAAAATACCACGCCTGCTATGCCTTCGAGGACCGTCGTGCATAGCGGCCGCGGTGAGGGACCCCCTGCGCACCCCCTATGGTGTCGAGAAATGCCACGCCTGCTTTGCCCTGGACGACCGTCGTGCATAGCGGCCGCGGTGAGGGACCACCCCCTGCGCACCCCCTATGGTGTCAAGGAAATGCCACGCCTGCTTTGCCCTGGACGACCGTCGTGCATAGCGGCCGCGGTGAGGGACCACCCCCTGCGCACCCCCTATGGTGTCGAGAAAATGCCACGCCTGCTATGCCCTGGACGACCGTCGTGAATAGCGGCAGCGGGGAGGGACCACCCCCTGTGCACCCCCCATGGTGTCGAGAAAATGCCACGCATGCTATGACCTGGACGACCGTCGTGCATAGCGGCCGCGGTGAGGGACCCCACCCCCTGTGCACCCCCTATGGTGTCGAGAAAGCGATGCGGTCACGCCTGCCGTGCCCTGCGCGCTAGTCCTGCGTGCTCTGCTGTGCCGAGCTGTGCTGTGCTGTGCTGTGTCGAGCTGAGCTGTGCTGTGCTTTGCTGAGCTGAGCTGTGCTGTGCTGTGCTGTGCTGAGCTGTGCTGAGCTGTGCTGAGCTGTGCTGAGCTGTGCTGATTAGTGCTGTGCTGTGCTGTGCTGTGCTGAGCAGTGCTGTCAGGAGGAGGGGAAGAGGGAGGTGAGTGAGTGAGCGCGGGTGGGACGCGGCAGAGAAGGAAACCATAATCCCGCTAAGCATGTGGGGGATAAGAGGGAAAACGAAAGCAAGGTAGAGGCGGGTGTACCTCTACTTCCTCCGAAGAGAAGAGCCCAGCGGCAGCGTGGGGAGCCCCTTCCTGAAGGGGCCCTGGGACTCACACATCAATAGACACAGATGGCAGGATTCCCCATACCGTTTTTCATATTTTCTGGGTTCTCGTCTTCCCCCCCCCCCCCCCCACTTCCCAACTTTTCCCATATTCTCTGGGGAATCGGCGATGCACTGTTTGGGCGCCCGAGTTATCCGGGGTAACTCGGGTCCGGGGTAACTCGGGCTCGGAATCCCGAAAAACTAACCCGAGTTAGCCCTGACCCGAGTTACCCCTGATGATTCGGGGCTCTGACATATTCTCTGGGGAATCGGCGATGCACTGTGTCTGTTCTCCTCCTGATTCTCGCGCGCATCGATCTGCTCTTCTCTCTGTTGGGGGGGGGGGAAGGGCTCCCACGCTCGGCCCGACCAGAAGGCAGGGCCGCCTCCGGGGCACCGGACGGCTCCCCAACCCTGGCCATCGCCCAGATCCGCTCCTCCTCCTCCTCCTCCTTCCTCCTCCTCCTCCTCCTCCTCCTTCCTCCTCCTTGCTCCTCCTCCTCCTCCTCCTCGTCCTCCTCCTCCTCCGGCTTCTTGCCGTCGCTCGGACGTCCATCCGCCGTGCATGTTTCGACGTCGTGCGTGCTTTTGTCGCCTGATGGTCCAGGACGCTCCTTGATGGCCCTCGCTGATGAAAACAGGCACACGTCCGAGCGATGCCAAGGCTTTGCAGGAACTTACAGCATCTGGAGCTCTGGCTGAGCCCCGTTTGCTCCGAACCCCGCTGCATGCGGGCTGGATCAGTCAGCAACGCATCGGAAAAACGGATCGAATCGAAAGGTGCATCATTTCGGGCTGCATCGGCACGGAATTGGAATCGAATCGGCTGCAGAAGGATGGACAACAGCGCCATACAAGCATCGGGCCGCATCGGATCGTCGGCGTATCGACGTCGAATCGGATCGACCGAACAGAAATGGACCCTGGGCTGATTCGCCCCGCAGAGCCCACGACCGGCGAGACAATAGAAGGAACCACGCCGCGGATGGCCAGCGCGATGGGCGCCAGGTCCAGCACGCAGCTGAAGAACGGGGAGAAGATCAGCGAGGAGAAGCTGATCTAGGGAGCATCGCTTTGATCCACTCCAGGGAGATGACCAAAAAAGGGTTTCCGCAGAGCCCTCTCCTCGCGAAGGGCTCCCGCCTACCCAGTAGGGCAGGGCTCGAGCCAAACAGTGCTTTTCTTTGTTGCCCTGCTTCCGTTTCCCTTCGCCCCTGTCTTCGTGCTGCCTCTGCTGCGGAGCGAAAGCAAGCCGAGAACGGTCCACGAAATATCGCCAAACACAGCGTTCGGAGTGAGCCCTGCTCGGTCGCTCCGTCGGGGGTGAAACCTCCTTCTGGGCCCCCCCTCCTCCCTCCTCGGGCTCGGGATCCGTCTGCCGTGCGCAGAAAGGGCATTTCCCCAGGGCGTCCGTCCTGGGACCCCCTCCTCCGCAGGGGCTTTCTCCCAGGGAAGCTCCTGGTGGAACCCCTTCTCCGGAAGGGTTTTAATCAGAAGACGCCTCCTGGACCCCTCTTCTCAGGATGGGTTCCAGGACCGACGACGGCCGCTGTTGAGCAAACGATGTCCGCCCAAAATGGACAACGTCCGTTGCGACGCCGACAGCGAGTCTCGTTGAAATGGGCAGGGGCTGCCGTGACTCTTCGTCCCCAAATCTGCCCGTCCCCATTTCATCCCTCCCGACTGTGGTCTAATTCAGCATGCAACATGTTCAGGTTGTACATATGTTCGGGATCACTCTTACGTCATCACTTACGCTATGGGGCACAACCGTACGAAAGCCACACGCATCATTTCAATGACCGCGCACCTTTGCCAAATACTTCAAGTGAACTGGACAAGCGGCTGCGATGAAGACCACGTAGAGCAAGGACATGCCCAAGTTCATCGCAAAATACCGGCAATTCTTGAAGATCTGAAAGGCAACGAATTCCCCGTCCGACCAGAAGCTCTTGCAACGATCGTCGTAGCCTGCCTTCACCTCGTCCAGGACTGTAAAGCAGAAGTAATATATGGTCAACACGACCTGAGCAAACCATAACATTGAACACATCGCATCACCCAGAACATGTGACGGTCGTGATGACAATAATAGCAACTGCAAATGCTGCATGCTGCATGGTAGGCCACTTTGGGATGGCGGTGGCTAACACATAGTTAGCCGACCAACTTACTTCGGAACGCCGGGTCGATGTGTCGTTTCAGCTGAAGCCGTCACAACACAACTCTAGGACTCGGGAGCCCGTGCATGGTGCTGCACGCGGACAAAACGCCCAATCGAGACGCGCACATGCCGTCCATGCAACCATGCCCGATTCTGACGGACCATGGCGGAAGCGCTCGAAAAAAACAACGAACTGTATCTCTTCGTGCTGCCCTCCGACCGCGGACACCGCCATCCGGCGAGTCAGGCTCGGCTCGTTGGCGAGCTTGGTCAGCAGCGGGAACACGTACCTGGACTGCTCACCCGTCCCTGGCCCTGCCATGCCCGATACAGTCGGGGCGTTGACCTAAGGAACCCTAAATAAGGAACGAGGCCCCTTTTCTCCATAAGTTAAACTTCGATTTCCTATCGAAAACATGAGGACAGCCTGAGGCAAGCTGTGAAACACTTCAAGAACGCGGAGCCCCTCCCCAGCGAAAAGGGTTCCTTCTTCAGGGCCCCGACTGTAGGTCCTCCGAGAGACTCTCGTGTCCTGCGTCTGCCGCCTTCACTCGGTGCCCATCTACGAGACGAGATCACCGTGCGACCATGAGAAGCACAGCAGCTGCACAATCTCACACTCTCGGAGCTCGACGCGGCTTTCTCGCATCGGTGCTGGACCCCCTTCCCTGGCGCGCGGAGCGCGCCACCTGCGGCGCCAGAGGCGCCGCCAGGTGGGCCCGGTGCAGATCCAAGAAATCCGCGCGGAGCTCCGACAGCATATGCTTATTCAAATTTTCCTCGATCCATGCGCGAGATCACTGTGCGACCGCGCGTCCCAGGGGCCCCCCCAAGCGGGCCCCAACGATGCCAACTTCATGGATTTTGTATGGTTTCGAACGAGTTTAGCGCTCTCACCTCGCAAGACAGCCCAAGAGGCTCTCAAGATCGCCCCAAGATGGCCCAAGAGGGCCCCAGGAAAGCCCCAAGACGGTCCAAGAGGGCCCCAGGAGACCCCAAATATGGAGCCCGAGTAGAAAAGTGAAGAAGACCCCCTGGGACCAGGATAGGGATAGCCCCAGGGAGACCACAAAGAAACCCTCAAGTGGCCAAACAGGATCCCAAAGATGCCCCAATAGGCCTCAAAGAGGCCCCAAGAGGATCCCCCCAAAAGGCCCCAAAGAGGCCCCAAGAGGCTCCCAATAATCACCCAAGAGGGGGGGCACCCCATGAGGCCCCCGAGAGGTTCTCTGACCCACAACCCAGGCACATGGTTCACTGGGATCGATCTGACCCAAGTGGTACACATTCAATACTACTTGCATACTTTAGCTTGCATCCAGGAGGGAAGCATCCCAAGAGGCTTCCGAGGGACATGCCAAGAAACCCAGACAGGCATCCAATACACCTCGTGGCGGGATCAACCGAAGGCCACAATATTCAAGACATCATAGGGCACCAGCCGTAGAACACCAACCAGGAAACACCAGGGTAAGACTGCGAACGTGGTAATTTCCAGTGCAGTCTTTCTTGCTTCCATGCCGAAGCCCTGAGTGAAAACACCGTCAGGAGAAACATCCTCAATCCCCCCTCCCCCAGCGTTCTTCCCCTCCTCCTCCTCCTCCTCCTCCTCCTCCTGCTCCTCCCTCCTCCTGCACCTCTTCAGTACTCCTCCCCCCTCGTCGTCTCTCTTCTCCTCCTCGCCTCGTCCTCCTCCGCGCCCGGGAGGCCGCGCAGGGCGCTTCCCGCAGTACAGGCCGATCCAGTAGCAGGGGATGAATATCAGGCCGTGACCTGTGAGGCTGCTCCTCGTCCTTCTCACTCCTCCTCGGCCGTTCTCGCCCCTCCTCCCTCCTCCTCATTCTAATCATCATGATCAGCATCAGGAGCATCATCATCTTCCTCCTCATCATCATCAGCATCAGCATCAGCACCATCATCATCACCAGCATCATCATCATCATCATCATCATCATCATCATCACCATCATCATCATCATCATCATCACCAGCATCACCAGCGACAGCAGCATCAGCATCAGCATCAGCATCCGCATCATCAGCATCATCACCACCATCATCATCATCATCATCATCATCATCATCATCATCATCATCATCATCATCATCATTAACACCATCATCATCGTCATCATCATCACCACCATCATCATCGTCAACACCATCAGTATCATCATCTCCATCATCACCATCATCAGCATCACCATCGGCATCAACACATCATAATCATCAGCATGCTCATCATCTCCATCATCATCATCATCGTCGTCGTCATCATCATCTCCATTAGCACCGTCATCATCATCACCATCATCATCATCACCATCACCATCATCATCATCATCATCATCATCATCATCATCATCATCAACAGCATCATCATCATCATCATCATCAGCAGCATAAGCATTATCAAAATCAATCTCGTCACAGTGTGCCAACATATGCGCAATACTTAGCAACTCACATAAGATGTCACTGACTCTTCTCCTCCTCCTCCTCCTCATTCTGCGCTGCTGCTCCTCCTCCCCTGAGGGAAATTCGGGAATGCACTGAAACTGGTCAGCGCTAATCCCGGTCAGCCGCTTTTGATTTGAGCTCTGGCAGTTGCGTCGAAACGCGCGCTCCTCATCAGTTCAATCAGTTCACAGGCGTTGATAGCCAGCGCAAATAGCTGACCAACTGGTCGCTCGAGTTGAAATGGCCAAGTAGTCAGCTATCCGAGCTGAACACGCCTTGGTCCCAACGCGGTGATTGACTGGTGGTAACGTGCCCGACGCTGCGAAGAATCCCTATGCTAGAACGCCCAAGGAGCAGGCTGGCTGGCCAGGGCAACGCGCCCTCCACATCCACCCACAAAAGAGGAGGCACGGGCTTCAGCCAAATCCGCCGATCCGGCGTGTGAGTTTAAGAAGTCTAAGCTGAAGCTCTGCTTCAGCATGAGCTTTAGCTCTGCTTGGGAGGGGGGGAGGGGGACAGGAGACAGGGGGGGGCAAGCTAGGTGCGCTCGCGTCATATCTGACGTCCTACCCCTCCCTCCCATCCCTTACCATGGCGCTGATTTTCTCTATCCGCGGGCGCGTGTCGTAGCGGACCTGTGGCTCCGCGCGCGCGTGCGTAGTGGGTGGTGGTGCGCGTGCGTGCGTGCGTGTGTGCGTGGTTGTGGTTATGGTTGTGGTTGTGGCTGTGGTGGTGGTGGTGGTGGTGGTGGTTTGTGTGTGTGTGTGTGTGTGTGCGTGTGTGCGCATGTGCTGTGGTGTGACGTGGTGTGGCGTCTTGGTGGTTTGGTGGTGGGCCATGTGCGTGCGTGCGTGATGGCGGTGGTGTTGGTGGCGGTGGTGGTGGTGGTGTGTGTGCGTGTGTGTGTGTGTGTGTGTGTGTGTGTCTGTGTGTGTGCGTATGTGTGTGTGTGTGTGTGTGTGTGTGTGTGCGTGCGTGCGTGTGCGTCTGTGTGCGCGCGCGTGTGATGTGGTGTGACGCGGTGTAGCGTGGTGGTGGTGGGTGGGGTAGTGGGGTGGTGGTGGCGGTGCGCGTGCGTGCGTGCGTGCATGCGTTGGTGGGTGGAAGTGGCGGTGGGCGGGGCGGGGCGCGGTGCGGTGGTGGCGGGCGGATGGGCGCGCGAGAAAGAGGCCCGCGCTGGGGCGAGAACGCCATCCTGAACGACAGAGGCAAAACACCGATCCGAAAATGAGACCCACGCTGCAGCGGGAACGATTCGGAACGAGCGGGGCCCGAAAATGAGGCCGGCGCCTCGGCGAGAGCAGCATTTTGGGAAAAATGCAGGCGAAAACCCAACTCCGGGGAAACCTGTGTGTAAAAAAACAATACGCGGGGGGGGGGGTCGGCTACTCCCATTCCGTCAGATGGGGGTTGTGGGGTGTGGTGGTGGATGATGGTGGTTGGGTGTGTGTGGGGGACTGGAGTAGTGGGGACGGGGGGGGGGGTATGTGTGTGCGGGGGAGAGGGGGTATTTGGGGAGTGGGGGGGGGTATGGTTGTGGGGGGGGTGAGGGGGAATGGGGTGTGTGATGGGGGGGTTGTTTGTCGAGGGGGGGGGGTCTGGTGAGAGAGGGTGGGTTATATGTTGGTGTGGTTGGGGGGGGGGGGGGGTGTGATGGGTACATCACATGTTCATTAACATGATAATGAAAATGAGGATATGATAAAGATGAAGATAATGATAATTGAAAAAGAAAATGATAATTGAATAAATGATAATGAGAATTCTAATGATAATGGAAATGCTAATGATAATGCTAAATATGCTGTCATATGATGATGAAGCTTCAGATGCCTGCTGAAGAAGATGAATGTATACAGCAATGCTACCTTATCCAGCCCATCTCATATGCTACTATAACATACTCTATACGAAGGCTGATGATGCTGAGCTGATGATTCACCAACACACAAACATACTCATCATCTTCATAACCAACCACAACACCAACCATCACCATCACCACAACCATCATCTTCATCATCATCATCATCATCATCATCATCATCATCATCATCATCATCATCATCATCAGCATCATCATCATCATCATCATCATCATCATCATCATCATCATCATCATCATCATCATCATCATCATCATCATCATCATCGTCATCATCATCATCATCCGGAGCGCCCCGGATCGGCGGCACTGGCCGGAGGCCACTACAATACGGCGTGGCCCCTGCCTGGACGTGTCCCTGGACCTTTTGCTCCGCTGCTTGCTTCTTCCACTCCACATTCCCTTCTTTCTCACCCCTTTTCGCTTCGTCAGGGCTGTGCGTTTTTTTGTTCAAAACATAACCCAGCAGTCACAAGAACCAGGAGAGCATGCTACCACGCTGGGAGCGCGAAGAAAAGCAGCACAGCGATGGGGAGGCCTGGGAGCCCCGTGGAAGGCACACCCGTCGAGCATATCATAACTGGGCCCTAGACCTTTGTCTTTGGGATGCGTCTCTCGTGCCAGATCGATCTGTGAGGTAGGGCGACGAGATCTATGCATATCCACTGCTCCCGGCCAGGCCAATCCTGGACCCAAGAGCTGTGTATACGCCCTCCTGGCTTGGCCAGGGAGGCATATACACCGCTCCTGGGCCCAAGATGGGCCTGGCCAGGAGCAGTGGATATGCATAGATCTCGTCGCCCGATGAGGGTTCTGGGGCCCTGTGGAGAGAACGTACCCCGCGATTGTTTGAGCACCGCCGGAACTCGAGGCCAGACTGGCAGGCCGACCCAGCCAGCTGTTCTCGACGCCGCTGTTCCAGTAGCCCACGGTGTAGTGGGTGAGCGGCTGGAACCAGGGCCACTCCTCGAACGGACAGAAGCACTCCGACGGACACACCTGCGCGCCAGCCGGCAGGAGGGGCACAGTGCAGACATCACAGCAAGAGCCTGTCAGCCTGCAACCATCGTGCTGCCAACAGGAAGCGCTGAACAAGGAACAACGGGCCTGTTTGGCTGAAGCTAGCCTCGGCCCTCGATGCTCCGCGCGGATTTCTCGGCGCGGAGGGCTCCGAGGGCGGCGCAGGAGGGAGGCCCAGCGAGGATCCAAGACATCCGCGTGGAGCGTCGAACATACATGCTTCTCCTGGTCTTCTTCTTCGAAATATGTCCCCCGACCCGGATATGAGGAACGGCCCGTCAACCGGCGCTCCTCCAGAGCCCAACGAGGCCCTCAGCAGCTCAAAGTCTCGGCTATGCAGCAAGCTCCCGCCGTGACACCGCCGGCTCTGGTTTCTGTCACCGCGTGGGCCCTTCGATCACTCCTGGGGGCCCTCTCACACTCTCTACGTCTTGAGACGGGACCGACCGTCCCGGCATTCCTATAGGCATACAACGAAATGCTCTTAACATAAGCCCGATGTATGAGGCCACGGTCTTCACCAGAACTGTGCTGAGAACGTCTCGTGCAAACCATAAAAGGCTCTCAGAGCATTCTCCAGTGGGCTTGTAGGCAAGCCAGGACGCTCCGCCACTGCTTGAACCTCGCCTTCCGCACGGGCTTCGCGTCCTGTGTCGTCTTCGGGGAACTACTGACCCCGGTCAATCCAAGCCCGGGCCAGTCGGTCTCTGCAGGATCCTGTACTTGCCATCGTTCGGACGTCCATTCCCTGTGCAGTTTTGGGTTTCGTGCGTGCTATTTTTTCCGGATGATCTAGGATGCTCCCCGATGGGCCACGCCGAGAAAAAATGCATACGTCCGAGCGATGCCAAATGTAGGATTCTGCGCGCTGGCCTAGGTCCGCGCAGCCGACCCTCTGGCCCTGTAGGATCCTGCAAAATCCGGCGCTCTGGCTCACCCCCGTTTGCACAGACCCCCGTGTCAAGGCTCCCGACGTCCCCAGACCCCCGACGTCGTGATTTATTCACAACGTCGACCCCCAGAGGTCTGGACCTCTTCCTGGGGACCCTTTTTTTTCCTTTCTTTCTCCCTTTATGTATTCAATCGCTTCGCTCATTCCGCCGGCCCTGGGGCCCTCTTTGGGGCCTCCTGGGGCCTCTTGGGGACCTCTTGGGAGTCTCTTGGGGCTCCTTGGCGGCGTCTTGGGGGCCCCCAAGGCCTCTTGAAGAGCTCTTGGGGGCCTCTTGACGCGGGAGGGGGGGTAGTCGATTGCGGCTCCCCACTCGGAGGCCACGATCCTCGTGAGTGGTGTCGAAAAATGGCCCTCCCCTGGAGTTTTCTGGTGGCTTCTCCCGGGACCTTGCTGGGGTATTTTTCGTCCGGGGGCCCCCAGGGGCTGCTCCGCGCGCGCGAACTAGAAATATTGTTAACCAGTTACCGGAGATCTTAGCGCGCCTCTGGCCCGTTGGGCTGGCGACTTTCTTTTGCGACGGCATGGAAGCGATGAACAACATCTTCACGATACGTGATTCACTGATGGGTATCCCCACGTTGGGCACCGTCTGTCGCACTGCGCAGCACTGACGCCTTGCGCAGCACCGCAGCAGCGCGAAAGAAACAACGTTCCACAGTGAAGGCTCGCCGCTGCAGTACAACTGCCTCTTGCCTTTCGGCCGAACGCTGCCGCGGTGCTGTACGCAGAAGAGATCTTGAAGCGGGCAGTCCAGCGCGGCGCCCCCGGAGGCCGAACATGGCGAGAACCTCCCGCCGCGACCTTTGTTGAAGCGCGAGGGGGCCTGCTTTGGAGTCCCGAAGCGGTGCGGTGACGGACCGTGCGGTGACCTCGGAATCCCCCGAGAGGGGGGGGGCAGCGGGTCCTGCGGGAGAAGCAGGCCCCGGACCCCCTCGGGCCTGCCCCCGGGGCGAGCTTTTCCCATCCCGAGCTGCTCTCTTCAGTCCCCGGGGGCTCGTGGAGGGTCCCGAGCGCCCGAAAACGGCGAAACACCTCAGGACCTGCTTCTAGGAGAAGAAAAAAATCCCTGAACATAAACCTTCTAGGACCTGCTTCTACAAGCCTCGTCAAAAATAAGCAGAAGACTTCTGAATTCGGCGATTGTGGGGCCAGCGCTACTCCAATGCTGACGGATGCCTGTTGACTCGGACGCGGTATTGTCCAAAAACCAACCCCACCCTCTCAGCATTGAAGAACGCGTTTTCTGACAAGTGCCCGAAAGCATCATGCTCCAGGATTTCAACTTCCATTTCGGGATATTTTTGACGAGGCTTGTAGGACCTGCTTCTAGGAGAAGAAAAAAGCTCTGAACATAAATTGCCAACCGGCCCCGCGTTTGCCGACCCTGTTGCCTTGAAGGACCTTCCAGGACCTGCTTCTAGGAAAAGCAGAATTCCTCGACCCGTTGCCCTCAGGACCTGCTTCTAGGAGAAGAAAAGAAGCCCTGAACATAAATGTTTGGCGCTCGCGTCCAGCGCGGATCCAAGGAATCGTCCGCGCGGAGGGCCGAAAGTTTTAACGCTATGTTTGTGGCAGAGTGGCTCTTCATGGCCCGCTTCCCCTAGGGCCAAGTGTTGGCGGCGAGCGCGGGGGGGAAGTGAGAAGGGACGGGCCTCCTCAGGAGCCTCGGAAGTCCCCTGAGGCCTTCCGAGAAGCTTTCTGAGCCTTCTCCCCGAAGGCACAAAACAAACAACTTCTCAGAGGGCCCGAGGGCGTCTGAGGAGCTCCGCCTCCTTCCGAGAAGGCCTCCTCCCTCTCACTTTCCCCCCCCTCGTGGGAGGCACAGAGACATACGAATGCCATGTCCTCCTCGGAGGCGCGCGCCCGACCCGAACATGCAGTATACACCCATCTTGCAGTAGATCGTTTCCCGAGCGGTGCGGCCAGAAAGCGCCCGCCACGACGCATACACCGGAAGTTTTTTTCGGTCCTCCTCCTCCTCCTCCTCCTCCTCTTCCCCCTCCTCCTCCCCCTCCTCCTCCTCCTCCTCCTCCTCCTCCTCCTCCTCCTCCTCCTCCTCCTCCCCCTCTTCCTCCTCCTCCTCCGCCTCCTCTCCTCCTCCTCCTCCTCCTCCTCCTCCTCCTCCTCCTCCTCCTCCTCCTCCCTGGGGGCGCGACGCACGTACAGTAGAAGCATGCCGGGGTGGCGCCGACCTCGCTCCCCGCCGCCAGTGACTCCCCCTCCGTGCCGCCCCCCCGTGTGCGTGCCGCCGACCCACCCATCGAGCGCCTGCGCCCCGGCGCGGGGCGCGGCCGCGGCGCCGAGGGCCGACGCCCACGGGCGCCCACCAGAATCTGCAGCTGGGCAGCTCGTCGTCGTCGTCGTTCGTCGTCGTCGTCGTCGTCGCCGCCGCCGCCGTCGTCGTCGTCGTCGTCGTCGTCGTCGTCGTCGGCCCGCGGAGCGGCCCCGGGATCTGCCGCATGGGATCGCGGGGCTCGTTTTCGTTTCCGTCTTCGTTGTTTCGATACTGTCTCCAGTCCACCCCTGCTGCAGAACGGAATCGAAGCGTAAACGGCCCACGAGATCGCCCAAACACCGTTTCGGTCGACCCCCGATATGTCTCGGGGATGGACAGACCTCCCTTTAGTAAAACGTGGTTTAGTGAAAACGACCTGAGGCCCAAACCTGGCGGGCGCAAACCTGGAAAATAACGGCCGCGGCGCCCTCTCGAGAGCCGAAAACGGACAATTCACTAATCGACGTGTCACTGTTGGGGGTTCTGTCCACCCCCGATATGTCGACCCCCGTCCCAGGCCTTGGGAGGCTTTCGAATGGACCAGCAGGCTTGGGCCCAGCCCTGGGACATGCGAGGGGGGGCGGCCATCCTCGATGGGGGTGCGCCCGAGTAGCCCCCCTCGGGGTGTGCATCCCCAGGTTTCCCCCCGTCTCTGCGCGGCCAAACTCTTCGGGCGGAGCTCGAGGTTGGGGGAGAAAAGTCGCCTGCGGCACACCACGGCAGGCCCTTCCATGCACACAGGCTCGGAGGAGGAGAGAGATGAGGGAAAGAGAGCGCACCCATCGTGCTGCCACATGAGCAACGAGAAGAAACGGGTCTTACGCAAGATGGCATAACGAACTTACGCCGCGGCTTACGCGGCCCGCCAGCGCGGCACGCCACATTGGAGACGAGGGCGCTTACGCGCAATTTTCTGCGGGCAACTTACGCGCAAATGTCGGCGACGACGGTCCTGTTTTGTTGCGTCGCTCACATGGAGCATCGAACAAGGAACGAAAGGGCTTTCCTCGGGCCGCAACGCAACAACCACGCAGCGTAACAGGCCGCGCCATGCTACAGCACCACGTGGAGCCCACTCCCAGACTGTCCGAAGACACAATCGATCTGACGAGCCTTTTTGGAGACCTCGATACAACCACCCTCCCTGGCGCGCGTAGCGAGCCAGGGGCGGCGCCAGAGGCGCCGCCGAGGGGGCCCAGCGCCGATCCAAGAAACCCTCGCGGACCTCGGAGAAAAGAAAAAAAAATAAAAAAAAAAAAAAAAAAAAGGACAAAAAACAAAAAAAAAAAAAAAAAAAAAAAAAAAAAAAAAAAAAAAAAATAAAAAAACAAAAAAAAGAAAAAACAAAAGATGAAAAAAAAAAAAAAAAAAAAAAAAAACAAAAAAAAAAAAAAAAAAAAAAAAAAAAAAAAAAAAAAAAAAAAAAAAAAAAAAAAAAATAAAAAAAAAAATCGGAGAAGCTGTGTTCATGCAATTGCTAGTTCTCCGACGTCATGCAACTCGATGCTGCGCTGGCACGGTTGGCGGGGTTCGCCGCAGGCAATTGGCATTCACTGCTGTGCCGCCGGCCTCTGGCCGTCCTGCTCGCACCCCCTCCTCCGGCACAATCTGTCACGTCCAGAAGCGAGGCAGCACATGGCAGAACAAGCTCAGGGCCCCCCCTACACCAGGACATTGCCGACCAGGACCTTGAGAACTCCACCCAGAGAGAACGAACGATGGATCACATTTCGACCCACGTCTGCAATTTTCTCGGGCACGCCAGTGTGCTGCTTTGTCAGTGTCCCCGTCCAAAGAGCCCTAATAAGCTGCCCCAGAACGATTCTGGAGAATCATCGATTGGTCACATATGGTGTGGCGGCAGAAGCGCTAGAGGTTCCCAGCCTAACTCCAGGCGCCCATCAATGGGCCCCAGATGAGCTCTGGAAAATGCGTGGAAAATTAGTGGAATGGCAAACTGGGGTACACGGAAGGATGCCCCACAGAGTCGAGTGTCGCATGTAAGAAAAGTGCGGGTCGCCTTATCCTGCGGGGGATTCTGCGGTCCAGCTCCCTTGAAGTATGGTGTCCAGCCCACGTAGATGTCGATGAACGCTGGCATGATGAGCCAGATCTGGGATGCTAGCAAGATGTGGGTAAGCTCAAGGCCAGCTGGAGCGTTGCCGTGTGTAATTTGTCACATGAGCGTCTGGAAGCTAGTAGGGATACATGCGCATGAATCCATCACACGTGCAACGCACGCAACTGTCGTACTCGCACGGGTACGTGAGATAACTGCACAACGACATGACGTGGGGGAGATGGATGTAGTGAGAGCCATCGGATTCGTTACTTTCTCCTCAGCAGCCACGCACGCATTGCTAAAAACATTGTATACGGCACCAAGGCTGAACTATGCGAGGGAATGCCCAAGCAACACGTGCCGCTGAACATCCGGTTCCTCTGTGCGCGGCGCAGATGCCAGCCCTCATGATGACGAACGCCGGGAAGTACCACATGGTCCAGTTGAAATCGAACGCGATCCATATGAAGAGGAAGAGCACCTCACGGTAGGTCATGCCATACCTCGGAAGCACGCGCCGCGGTGGGCCACATCGGCTGTCAACCGCACCGCCGCAGCAGCACCCGTTCCCACGCCTCTGCCGCATCAGTGACGCCCCGGGTCCCCCGAACCGCGGCGCAAAACATGAGCTCCGTCCTGGCACGACGGAGTGCGCGCCCCCCTTCCCATCGACTGGCTCCTCTGAAGGGGCCCTCGGGCCCACACACACAAATAGACCCAACAATTCCCGGTATGTTCCTATTTTTCGTGGGTTTTAATCTTCCCCCCCACTTCCCATGTTTTCCAATATTTTCTGGGGAGTCGACGATTAATTGTGTCTGTGTGTGTGTGTTTTTTCTCCTTCTTGATCATCGCTGCCAGGCTGCTGTGGGCCGCGAGCCTGCGTGACGAAGGCGACTCTGCCGGGAGAGATGGGAGCTCCACGCCTCCACGCAAAGCGAGCCCCCGGCAGAACGTCCTCCCCGGGCCCGAGCACGCCCCCGCACCCCCTGCCCCCGTGGCCAGCGCTGGCCCCTCACTCGGGGAAAACACGCGCGCACGCGAGAGACCCTGAAGCGCCAACCTTTCTGGAGTCCCGCAACGGTGCGGTGACAGACCGTGGGGTGACCTCGGAACCCTAAGAGACCTCACCGCACGGCCCGTCACCGCACGGTCTTGGGACCCTGGAGGCCCCTGTCGCCCGAGACGCCCTCGGAGAACGACGCGAGTCCCAAAGCCGTGCGGTGACCCCGAAGGCCCACCGACTCGCCGCACGGTGCGGTGCCCACACCGTTCGGGGGCCCCCGCACCTTGCCTGCTGGTGCCCCGCCCGCTCCTGCCGGAGGGACGATGGGAGGAGGCTTCAGAAGAGGGTCGGCGGCGAGCCCGTGGGGGAAGGCCTCCTGAACTGTGACTTTTTGCTTATTGTCGTCAAATGGAAGCAGCGATCATACTGTGCTTTGAAACTTCAGGACGCACTGACAGAGTCAGATCACTCGAGGAGGTACACAACAATTTGAGGGTCATGTCTTTTTGCTTATAGCTGAAATACAGCATGATGGACTGGCTTTGGCGGTTAGCATCCGACCTGGACGCCCCGCGGCGCGTGTCTGAGAGAATCCATCTCTGCCTTCGCTAGGGCTCCCAACTTCGCGCTTCGCGCTGCGCGAAGCGCGAATAACTTCGCGCTCTCGCGCCGCCCTCCCAAAGGGAGAATAGGAGGACGAGGAGGAGGGGGAGAAGGAACGAGGACCGCGAAGCGCGAAGCGCGAATAACTTCGCGCCCTCGAGGGAGCCCTTCGGAGATCGCCCGCACGGCCCCTCCGAGGCCGACGGGGCCCGCCGCGCTCCGAGGAGGCCTCTAATTACCTCCCTCGACGTCTCCCCCTCCCCGGGGCCCCGCTGCCGAGAGTGACCCCGCCGACCCCTGCCGCGGACGCGCGGGCGCCCTCAGAAATCGGGGGCGCGCAGTTATCGACTAGCGATCCACGGGTTTGGCGCGCGGTCGACAGATCCATGGATCAAGGGAAGTTCCCTCCCGAAAATGCGGCCGGTGCCGCCTCGCTCGGCGGCGTGAATCCGCGATTTCCCATGGAAACGGGACCCGTCGCTAATCCACGCCTCCTCGATCCATGTTTGCGATCGCCTGAAGAACAGCAGTCCGAACAATCCTCTCGTTGGCCGCCCCGCTCGCCCCCTGTGCTCGGCCCGCGTGTCGTCGAAGCCGCTCAGGAACGCCAGGGAAGACCAGCCGCCGCTCACGAGCAGGTACAAGAACGTGTACTGCGCCGTGCCCCACTCCTGGGTGTGGGCTAGGAAGTGCCGATGCCGGCAAGGCTTCGGGCTGCCGCCCACCCCAGGTACCATCGGGGTTGATTGGAGAGGACGCGCGAGAGGTCACGCGACCCTTCCGAGGGCCACGTTGTCATAGGAAGGGAAGGTAGGAAGGCATGGGTCGCGAAGCTCAGGACAGAAGGGTACCCTTGATTTGGCAGGGTCGACCTACGAATCAATCTCGACTGTATACGCATCCCAGGGGGGGGCTGTCCCTGTGCAGCCCGAAATCTCACCAGTACCAATACCGCTACTCCTCGGACCTCTCCATGGGTGCACTCTGACAAGGACTTCGACGCGAATCCAACGGTGGCGACAAGGGAAGCGCAGCGGCATCGACACCCTCTCCCTCCTCTGAGCTCCTGCCCCAGGGGCTTCCAGCCGTTGCTGATCATCTCGTGGCTCCCCTTCTGGAGCGGAATGTTGTGGCCGTGGATGATCACGCCGATCAGGATGGCCCGCACGTTGTCCAGCACCAAATCTTCGGCGGCGTTCTCGAGGCGGCCTCTTTCAGCACGGGAGGGGCGCCACCGCGGCCCGGCGCTGCCGTGTCCAGGCGGCCCCCGCTCTCCCTGCGCAAACACGGAGGAGGAGGAGGAGGAGGAGGAGGAGGAGGAGGAGGAGGAGGAGGAGGAGGGGCAGGGGGAGGGGAGGGGGAGCAGACCGTGGGGCTCTGCACGCGTCGGAATCCCACCACCCCCAAGAGAGCCCCAAGAGAGCCTCGATGGCAGCCGAGCTCGCCCCTCGAGGGGCACCGAGATGCCTCCGACAGGCTCCCAGAGCATGACAGCGTGCTGCGACGCATCCCTGATCAGGGCAACTTGCCTGGGGATCGCTTCTGGATACACCCTGCGAAATGCTTAAGAAATCATGGGTTAAGAAATTCATAGTCTCAGAATTTGAATAAAACCCAGAATTTCTATCAAAATCTTAGGAATTCAATTGAAACATTAAGAATAATCGAGACTCTGGCCGAAAATGTAAATTTTCTTGAGCATCGCCTGAGGTGTAGGCTGGTCGGGGTCCTTACGCGAAGCATCGACCACATCACTATATTTCTCCTGGTTGGAACGTCGGGGACACACGAGAAAGACGATGCTGCTTCACACTCCACCAAAGGGAACACGTGGTACTGGAACCGACTCTGCTGCGGGACTCAGATGGACGCTGTTCTCCTCTCCCAGAAGCTGAACTTCGATTTCCCATGGAAAGCCTCAGGAAAACAGAAGGCAAACCGTAGAACAGTCACGGAACACCGAGCCCCTCCCCAACGAAAAGGGTTCCTTGTTCAGGGCCCCGGCTGTGGTCCAAAATGTAGGGGCACCCACACACACACATGCAGCGTGCACGCGAAGGGAGCCTGCACCTCGCCCGACAAGCTGTGCGCCATGCCCCGTGCGCGGGTAATTAACACGCTTAGATGTCTTCGGCGCAAGCTCGGCTTTGGGAAACATGATCAATGTTTCGGCCACCGTGTGAAACACACAACCATCAATGAAACCCACACCAGAAGCCGCAAGGGTCTCCCGTTGGTCCGACTGCAGAACCAACCAGTATCCATCCCTGGCCTGCCAGTGTAGACGACGACACAACGAACAACGACGGGCATGAGACTGTATCCGAAGCTCCCAGCGGTGGATATGGGTATATGCGGGCCCCCGGGGGCCCGCATATATCCACATCTGCCACCCGCCGAGGTCCCCGAGAATTGATCCTCCAGGCGGTGGTCATGTGTGAATTTCCGCCTCTGATGACATGGAAACAGGGGGCAGCGAACAGTGCACAAGAAGGACTTACATAGAGGGCAGAAAATCCACCCCGATAAGAACCACCCCGACACGCGAGGCCTTCAATAAACGCGCCGCGCCCAAGGAGGAATCGAACTGGGCAGGGCTGTTTAGTAAACGCCCAGGGCCGTTTAGTAAACGCCACTTGTCGGGTCCGGATGGTTTTTCCTCCCTTGACTACAGTTAAGTCGGGCCTGTCCCCCTACAGGGGGATTTTCGACGAAAAATTAAAACTACCCCAACAATATTTCAAACATAGTCCAAACAATAGTCTGCGGACTATTTTTTGAGTATGTTTGGCCATTGTGGAATATTTGTGGGGTATCTTTTATTTCTCGCCGAAAATCCCCCTGCAGGGGGACAGGCCCGACTTTAGACTACAGAGCAGCCTCCGCGCTGCGAACGAGCACCGGGCCGCCCTCTTTACCAGCCTGGAACATGTCCCTATCCCTATGCTGGGCACCTCCTCATCACGATGCCAGTCTTAGGGATTCCCTCATGTGTTTTGAGGGCGCGTCCCCAAGATTGTCATCGCCTTTTGGCGTGTCAATCTTAGGGATAGGGATACGTTCGAGGCTGGTTACGGAGGGATTCATCGGCGCGGGGATCTCCATGTCTCCATTTGTGAGCGTCTGGGTGAGAGCCTTAGCCGGTGGCGACTGAGCGCTCCCTTGCCTTTCCCTCTCGGCGCGCCCAAGTACGATGCTTGCTGCATCTGCATTCGCTTGGGATACGTTCGAGGCTGGTAAGCAGGGGGACAGGCCCGACTTAAGACTACAGGGCAGCCTCCGCGCTGCGAGCGATCCCCGGGGGCCGCCCTCTGGCGCCCACGCTCTCTCCGGGCAGCCAGGGCCCCCGAGCGCGGCCTCCGCGCCCCGGGCGCAGAGCGGCAGAGTGGGCCAGCAGAGGTCGGGCGCGCCCCCCTGCAGGGTTTTTTTTCCGGGTGGCCCAAAAGGGGGTCCAGCTGGAAGGGGATGGCTCGCCACCGCTCGGACGTCCATTCCCTGTGTTTTTTTTGGTTTCGTGCGTGGTTTTTCGCCACATGATCAAGGATGCTCCTCGATGGCCCTCGCCGAAGGAAAAATGCACATGTCCGAGCGATGCCAAGGATGGTGCAATAGATTTGGGGCAGGTGTATTGCAAACGTATTGCGCCAGAGAACTGTGTTGCATTGTACCGCAGGTAGTGTACTGCGCGCGAGAATCCAGCAATACGTTTGCGCCCCGGAATGTGTTGCACGCCGGAAATGTATTGCAACCCCACAAATCTATTGCACCAAATCTATTGCACCACCCCCTTGTCGCTGGACCCCCTTTTGGGTCAACTCGAATTTTGGGCGACAAAAAAACATTGCAGAACATATGTAAAAAATGCCCCCAGATGGTAACAAAGACTGTCCCCAGACTATTCTTTTTTCCTATTCTTGCATACTCCTCCTGTAGAGGGACAGGCCCGGCTTAAAAGAAAGCTCCTGCCGCGTGAACTTCCGCATCTGGCCCAGGCTGTCGAGCTCCATGACCGTCTCCCCGCCGCCCTCCTCCGGGTCTGGGGGCTTCAGCGCCTCGGCCGCAAGGAGGTGCTGCACTTTTCGGTCATCACTCGGTGTAGGAGAACAATGTAACTACGCATCAACTGTCAGAGCTCCGGGAGGATTTCCTGGATCAGCGCTGGATCCCCCTCCCCGGCGCGCGGAGCGCGCCAGGTGCGGCGTCGGAGGCTCCGTCAGGGGGGCCCAAGGCAGATCCGAGGAATCCCCTTGGAGCTCCGAAAGTTTATGTTCATCCTGTGTGTTCGTCCTTGATTTGGGTCGGAGAGAAAACAAGTGATAGGGAGCACGACAATCTCGTAGAGGAACCACAGGAGTGCGGGGGATGTGGGATCAGCGATACATTGCTGACAGATCGGCGATAGATCGCAGATACCGAATCCGCACGATCCGAGGCCTGGCGGGCTATCGGGCCCGTATCGGCGATCAATAGGCGAGTGGGGGTCGATGTGTCTCCCCTTGTCCCCCCCCTGAGCCTATCACCCGCCTTTCGTTGCCACTGGCTGCGTGGCCGCACTGTGGCTTCACATTTCACCATATAAACGTTTCCAAAAGGGCAGGGGGCGGCGATGACCCGCCGGATACCATAGACGCAACCACACTCGTGCAAACTGGGAAAAGGCCTGCAACAGCATGTGCGCGGTTTCATGGGAGACAGGCCATGCGCAACCACATCACGCATCAGAGGTGCACCGCTACAATCGTGCAGCACTACAAACGTTGCTGTACTGAGTCCTGAGCGCGGTGGCGGAATCTACTAGGGCAGCGCACCTGTGCAAGAACCCTCTAGGATAGTCGCAGTTGGGGGGCGGCCGCTGACTTTTGCGCTCCTCCTGGGCTTAATGCACCACTCATGTCTTCACGAACTGGGCGGCAGACAAGGGGATAATAGAGCTAGCCAACCACACAACTTATTCGAAACAACAAGAAACATATACGTGACATTTCCTAGCTCCGCGCATATTACTTGGATCGGCGCTGGACGCCTCTCTCTGCCGCGCGGAGCGCGCCAAAGGCGGCGCCAGCGGCGCCGCCAAAAGGCTCCAGCGCCGATCCCAAAACTCCGCGCGAAGCTCCGACGAAGTATGTTGATGTAACATGCTGATGTGGTTTTCCCCGAAATGAGGGATGAGCACAACGTCCCTACCCTGGGTTACAAGCGCGTGGTCTGTAAACCTCCTGGGCGCTCCCAAAGGCCAGAGAGCCGCCAGGACGCCGCGCGACACGCAGCGTTTACCCTGTCAGCGTACAGCGCCTCGTAAACCAGGGTAGGGGCGTTTCTTAAGCCTTTTGCGAAAGAGATTGGAGCAGCGAGTGGCGCGCGTTCGCGCCACACTGGGCTTCTGTCGGGCGTGTCCCCCTACAGGGGGATTTGCGACGAAAACTAAAAAATACCCCAAACATGCCCCAAGAAGGTCAAAGAATACTCAAAAAATAGTCACCAGACTACGTTTGGACTATGTTCTGAATATTTTGGGGGTACTTTTCGTTTTTCGTCGAACATCCCCCTGTGGGGGGACAGGCCCGACATACCCCTGGGCTAGGGGAAAAAGAACTATGCACATACACCGATTCTGGCCAGGCCCATCCTGAGCCCAGGATCGGTGCATACGCCCTCCTACTTTGGCCAGGAAGGCATATGCACCGATCCTGGGTCAAGGATGGGCCTTGCCAGGATCGGTGCATGTGCATAGTTCTCTTCGCCCGATGGGCGCCTTCTTGTTGACCTTCCCGTTGGCGAGCTTGGGGAGCTCGTCGAGCCCGACCAGCACGTGCGGCACCTGGGCGGGTGCCGCCCGCGCGCCGCGCCGGGCCCTCGACCCGGACCGCGGAGGCAGATCGACCTGCCTGGCCGAGCCCCCGCACACCGCCTCTGGCCATCGCTCGGACGTCCGTTCCCTGTGTTTTTTTCGGTTTCGTGCGTGGCTTTTTCGCCAAATGATCAGGGATGCTCCTCGATGGTCCTCGCCGAAGGAAAAATGCACACGTCCGAGCGATGCCGAGCCCCTGGTCTTAAGTCGGGCCTGTCCCTCTACAGGAAGAATATTCAAAAACAGTCAAACCATGATGTGGTGACCACTTTATAGTAGTAACCATGTTTGGGTTATTTGTTCGAGCATTTCCTTGTTCTTAACATTCGTCGTCCAAAATTCCCCTGTCGGGGGACAGGCCCGACCTAAACCTGGTCCTCCGTGACGCCTGCTGGAATGCACCAAATTGCGCTCTCGATTGATTGGTCGGTTGCTGATGCAAAGATCCCAGCAACTGCTTTCGCTGCGCCATCAAGTGCACCACCCGTGGGCTCGCACATCTGTTAGACTCAATGGTCAGTGTTTCAACACGGATCGAATCCATGCTGAAGAGTGGCGCGATGCCCTTTTTGCCCAGCAACGTTTGGATGCAACGTTTGGGAAGTCTTCGTAAGAACAATTGAGGGCCGATGGGCGCGATTGAGGGGCTATTGAGCTGGAGTAGTCTAACTTTCGCCTGGGGCTGCCACATGAAACCACATTAAGCTGGATCAAACGGAATCAAACAAGGATCATGCGGGACCAGGTCTTCTGTCGACCACGGATATACCAGCGCTAGTGCTGAATTGGTCCTCCCAGGAGTTGCATCGTAAGCAAGTGTCTTGGACTGGACTGCGATTCGCCTTTCATTCTCTCTCGGCTCCGTGCCCTCCGACGCCCTGTGATCGCTGATGCACCCAGTGGCGCTGCCGATTTGCACAAGCCGTGTCCAAAGGGTCCGCGACGGGCGACCCAGGACTGCCTCACTGTACCCACCTGACTTCTTTTACTTGCCACCTTCACATGCTCCTTGACTCCATCTCTCTCTCTCTCTCTTTCCCTCTCCCTCTCCCTCTCTCTCTCTCTATTTCAACCACTTGCGATTGGAAACAACTATGGAATAGTGGGCTCGAATACGCTCCAAACTCTTGCACATCCCTCAACCTTGGATTCTCATCAACCCGCAATCCACACTCCTTAACCCACAAGTCCCTTCGCTGGCCGCGAACATTCATATTCTCTGCCACGCGCTTGCTGCTGTAATCCGCTGGCACTTATGTGGGGCTCCAAGCTGTAAGAATCATTTGATGCTTCCGTCGGGTGTTGATCCAATGATCCAACATTCGTAGGATGTTTCCTGAGGGCGACGAGGAAACGAGGGATAAGAGGAGGAAGACGAAGCCGAGGGGGAAGCGACGACAACCCCCAACCGCAGACACAACAACGCGTTGGGACAGGAAACGAGATGAGAGGCGACAGAACGACGAGACAAGACGACAGGAAACAGCACGATGTGAAGAGAAGAGTGGGACCGAGGCATCACCTCAAAGTCGATGCCACAAAAGTCATGCAATGTTCGTAGTATGGTGTTCGTAGTAGCTCTCCTGCGCTCCATGTAGCCTCGCCACTTGCCAATAACTTCACATCTGCAGCTCCGCGCCGGGGCGAGACTCCCCCAACACAAATCCAATCAGAGTACGAGAAGCTTCGCGCGACAACGACCAGGCGGGGTGTTGTATAACAAATTATCTATGCAAAAGTCCCAACCATATGCAATTGTGAATGTTGCCATTGTGAGAATTGCCTTCGGTGGAACTCCCTATGGGTACGAAACGCGCGAAGGATGCGCCGTAATGGGTCGGGGCCGCCATGCGGGCGCTGCCGCTGTGGCCTTGGCTGGAGCTCCCTATGGGGCCACGAAGAGCATGCGGGGTGTACCAAAGAGGATGGGGGGCGGCATGCAATTCATGCCGCTGTGGCCTTCGGTGGAGCTCCCTATGGGACCACGCAACGTGCGAAGGGTGCGTTGAATTGGAGGGGGGGGGCATGCAAACCATGCCACTGGAGCCTTCGGTGGAGCTCCCCGTGGGGTCACGAAACATGTGACGGGTGTGCCACAATAGAGGGGGGCGGCATGCTAACCATGCTTCTGGTGACTTCGGTGGAGCTCCCTATGGGACCACGAAGCGTGCGAGGGGTGTGCCGAACTGGAGGGGGCGGCATGCAAACCATGCCACTGGAGCCTTCGGTGGAACTCCCCGTGGGATCACGAAACATGTGACGGGTGTGCCGCAATAGAGGGGGGCGGCACGCGAACCATGCCGCTGGGGCCTTCGGTGGAGCTCCCTATGGGGCCACGAAGCGTGTGAAGGGTGTGCCAGACTGGAGGGGGGGGGGCGGTATGCAAACCATGCCACTGGAGCCTTCGGTGGAGCTCCCCATGGGGTCACGAAACATGTGACGGGTGTGCCACAATAGAAGGGGGCGGCATGCAATGCATGCCGCTGGTGACTTCGGTGGAGCTCCCTATGGGGCCACGAAGCGTGCGAGGGGGTGCCAAACTGGGAGGGGGGGGGGCGGCGGGGCGGCATGCGAACCACCACGCCACTGGAGCCTTCGGTGGAGCGCGCTCCCTATGGGGACACGGAACAGGTGAAAGGTGCGCCAAAGCGAGGGGGGGGGGGGACGGGAGGAGGAGTAGGAGGAGGAGGAGGAGGAGGAGACGCGGGGAGGGAGGTTGTAAGATCCTCTGGCTGCTATCGGGACAGATAGGTCTATCTGGTCTGTCTCCTCTGTCTGGCCTGGCCTAGTTCTGTTCTGCCTTGTCCATCTGGTCTGGTCTAGCTGGTATGGGCATCCTCTTCCTCCCAGCTTTACTCGTCCCCCTCTCCTCGACCACGCTCTATGCTCTCCTCCTCCTGCTCCTTAGCCCCCTGTTCATTGTTCCCCTCCTCCTCCTCCTCCTCCTCCTCCTCTACATTTTCCTCGTCGTGATCCTCCAACTCATTGTTGATTTGACACGGCGTGCTGCCCACCGACGACCTCAATGTAGTGTATATGCCGATGCCCAACAAGCTAGACATAAAGCTCCTACCATGGCGACTTCGGCCTGGTTTCTGATGCCGCCCGGACCGTGCGATCCCGAACGAGCTCCGCGCTCGGAGGTCTCCAGAAGCTGTCGACCGCCTCTTTCGTGAAGATTTCGCGCCGTGGGTTGTTTTCGTTTCTGTGCTTCCTCGAGCCCGACATGAGCCTCTGGAACGTGTGCAACTTTGGGCGCCCGGAATCGACACGGAAGACATGTGTACAACACCAAACAACAAATGTTGTCCAACGCTGACAGTGGCCGCTACTGGGCAGGCGGCCTTCTGTCTCGGATGGGCAGCGGCCGCGGCCTCGCCGACAACGAGCCCTAGTCGGAATGAACAGGAACTGCTGCCGGTCTTTGTACAGTCAGACCTAGGCAAGAACACCCAACAGACACGGCGAACATTATGGTGCCCTCCCCGAACCGACCTCGATCTTATACCTCGGTCCGACCGCACCCGTTCGATCGTCCCGAGCAGCATCGAGCGCTGGCGTCGCCGCCGCGTCGATGTGGCACGAGCCTGCTGTTCGCACGCCGAGTCGCAGCCCGAGGGCGAGCGGGCACCATGTACGCCACGAGCTTCTGCTTGCAGAAGTCGCGCAGGTCGCCGGGGACCGCGGGAACCACGTAGGCGACCAGCTTGTCGTCGTGCACGCCGACGGCGCATGCCGAGACGCTGGAGCACTTGCTTCTCTGCTCGGCGGCGGGCGAGGGAGGTGAGAAGGAGAAAGCCTTCTCCTCCTCCTCCTCCTCCTCCTCCTCCTCCTCCTCCTCCTCCTCCCTCCTCCTCCTCCTCCTCCTTCTCAGAAGCCCTCGCGCCTTCTGGGAAGCGTCCTGCTTCTCCGGGGAAGGCTTCAACCACTTCTCGGAAAGCCAGGGGGACTTCCGAGCCTTCTGAGAACCCAGACCCCCGACGTCGTGACTTTTTCGCAACGTCGACCCCCAGAGGTCTGGACCCCTTCCCAAGGATTGTGTTGTTCCCATCCTACTTAAGGACGCATCCCAGAAATAACTTCGAGCACCCGGAAAAGTGTCAAAAGAGTATCGAAACAATGCCGAAACAATGTCGGGCGAGTGTCTCCCAGGGCCCAGCACGTGAAAACCCTTGGGTTTCGGTACTTTTTTTGGCGCTCGAAATTCTTTCTGGTGATCAAGGCTAAAGTAGGTTGGAGCATCATAACCCGAGGACCGGTTTTTAATCCTGAATCGTTTCTTGACAGTCCGGAGGCCCAAGAAGGGCCCCCCGGAGGCTGAAAATGATGAAAAACCTCCCGTCGTGATTGTTTCACATCGCGAGGAGGACTGGGAAGGCCCGCCCCTTCTCACTTCCCCCCCGGGCTCCCCGCCGATCTTATGCCACGCGACTTTACGCATCGCACCCCTCCTCCTCCTCCTCCTCCTCCTCCTCCTCCTCCTCCTCCTCCTTTTCTTCTCACTTCCCCCCCTGGGCTCGCCGCCGAGCTCAGGCCACCCAACTTTGCGCATCGCACCCCGCCGCGCGCGACGCGCCATTGCCCTCTCGCGCCGCCGCGCCGCCCACGAAGACGGGGCTGGCGCAGCAGCCCGAGGCTGGACGGAAACCAGCGCAGGAAACACTCGACAGTCGCCGCCTGTGATGTCTGTACGGCCAGACCTGGGATTTGGACGCCCGAAGTGGGTATGGAGAAAAATTGGCACAGGATTCGGCCTGACCGAACGACAAATAGGGAACGAAGCCTTTTTTTCCAAGGAGCACCAAGGAGGCTCGCCGCCAAAAAGGTAGCGGAACGCATGCAAACCAAAGGAACGACTGAACCCCTTTCGAAAAGTAAGTGGTCCTTATTCAAGCCGGACCCTGTACAATGCCCAACAACAATTGTCGTCCAAAACTGACAGCAGTCGCTGTTGGGCAGGCGGCTGTTTGTCGCCGAAGAGCAGCCTCCGCGGCGGCGCGGACAGCGAGTCCTGTTCAAAATGAACAGGAACTGCTGCTGGGCATCGTACCCAGTCTTTCCGTACCTATTTCGATCGTCCCGATAAGACAGGGCAACATCCCTCAAGAACACGAGACCCTTCGCCGGCCAAGTTGAAGAACATTCGAGGGCACAGGTCCCGAGGATGCAAAAGAACACGCAACTGGGGTACCACCCCCGAACCGAGCTTGATCCGATACCTCGGCCCGACCGCACCATATGACTTGACGTGCGGGCGGTGCCTGCGTCTGGCCGCGCGCAACGCCTGCGGTGCGAGAGCGACAAAGTGCACGCGGCGCTTGCGCCAGCGCCGCCGTGACGAGGCGATGTCCGCGGCCTGTGCTTTGACGTGCAGGCAGTGCCCGCACCTTGCCACGCGCAGTGCCTGATAAAACGGCAGCGTTTGCGGTGCCTGCGCCAACGCCGCCATGACGAGGGGATGTCCGCACCTCACTTTTTTGACGCGTCTGCGTTTCCTGCGCCTGGACATGCGCACTGCCTGCGCCGATAGAGGACAGTGCCCGCGACGCTTGCGCTAACACCAGTGCCTCCGGTGACCAGAACTTCGAGGATTATCCAGCCGTCAAGGCGAGAGCGCTGCAGGACGAGCAACACTATCCACCCGTCGGGAAAGTGGTTAGAAACATGAAGCAGGAGAGCGATGGAAGTTTTTTGAATTTCCGCCCGCCCCCTGAAGGAGGAGTAAGGAAAACCGCTCTATGATTGAAGTAGGAAGGCGCCCACAGTAAACTGAGACCTGGAAATCCAAAGATCCGCCACCGTGCACTTGAAGTTGGCGGCGCGCACAAGGGGGTGGGGGGAGGGGGGGGGGCTTCTTAGAAGGAGGCTGCTTCTTAGAAGGCGCCGGCCCATCTACAGACAAGGCTGGCGCCTTCTAAGAAGCAGGGGTGCTTCTAAGAAGCCCTCCCCCCTCCCCCCAAACCCCCTCTGCGCGTGGCTGATGAAGCACGAATTAGGGTGTCCTCAGGTCCCGTGTTCGATCACCTGCAGCCTCAGTCCTCAACCCTGAGAATTTAAAGGGGCCCTGGGACACACAAATAAATGCACACAAATAAAAAGATTCCCCATATGTTCCTATATTTTCTGGGTTTTCGTCTCCCCCCCACTTCCCATAGTTTCCCATATTTGTCTTGGAGTCGACGATTCATCGTGTCTGTGGTTTTTTCCCCTCCTGATCAGTCCTCCACCCTGAGAGTTCGAAGGGGCCTGGACCCCCCAATTGCCCAATCTCTCTGGGCGTGCCGCGTGGCCCCTGGGGCTCCCGGTGTCCTGTCGCTTGATTCAGGGGCCGAAGAGGTGCCCCGGAGGCCCCGAAGCTGCCCCGAGAGGGCCCCGAGTCGCCGAAAGATCGCTCCAAATCGGCCCAAGACGTTTTCGAGACTGCCCAGGATGCATACCAGGCGCCCCTGGACGCCTCCAAGAGGCCTCCCAAAAGGGCCCCCAGAGGCAAATCCGCAAACTCATCACTGTTCGTTTCGTTGTTGAAGGATTTTGGGCTTTCTAGCCTTTTCGGCTTCTGGACGCTTCCAGACAGCTCCCACTCATTCCTGAGGAGCCCAACAATGACGACAGCTACGAGAACCCGGAGTTTCGCTCTGATTCGAACGTGGAGCTTCGGGCCCCACAGACGAGGCTCCCGCCCCACTCACGACGAGGCTCCCGCCACGACGAAGCTCCCGCTTGAAAATGTAGGCCTGAGGAGCCCAAATAACGACACTTACGAATTTCCGATGAACCAGCTCGGATTCGAACATGAAGTGCGGGCTGGAAGGGGCTCCCCTTTGAGACTTCCCTGCGATTCACTCACAAACGAGGCTCCCGCTTGAGACGTCATCAGAATACAAGCCTCAGGGGCCCAAAAAGGACGACAGTTTCAAGGTTTGGATGACACGCTCGGATTCGAACATGAGGTATGGGCCCCATAGAAGAAAGGCTCCCGCCTGAGACTTCCTCACAATTCACTCACTGACGACGCTCCCGCTTGAAACTTCCTCAATATTCAAACCTCAAGAGCCACAAAGTGAGAACAATTACAAGGTTTGGATGACCCGCTCGGATTCGAACATGAAGTGCGGGCCCCATAGAGAAGGGACTCCCGTTTTAGACTTCCTCACAATCTACTCAGAAAAGGGGCTCCCGCCTCAGATTTCCTCACAATATGCTCACAGACGAGGCTCCCGCCTGAGAATTCCTCCATGTTCAAGCTTCAGGGGCCCAAAAAGGACAACTGCTACAAGACTTGGATGGCCCGCTCGGATTCGAACGTGAGTTGCGGGCCCCATAGAGACGGGGCTCCCGTTTGAGACTTCCTCACGATTCACTCACTGACGACGCTCCCGCTTGAGACTTCCTCAAGATTCAAGCCTCAGGGGCCCCAAAGTGACGACGGTTGCAAGGTTTGGATGACCCGCTCGGAATCGAACGTGAGGTGCGGGCCCCACACAATCAACCAATATAGTAAGGATGTGCGATAAGGACGCAAGGGCCTTGGACGCCCATTTCGAAGCTTTTGGAACGGGGCGCGGCCAGCGAAAGCGGCGAAGGATGGACCGAGGAGGCAAGGATGCAAGGGTATCCTTGGGAAGGTTGCCCATTCTTAATATGCGGGTTGACTGTAAGGACGGGGCTCCCGCCTGAGACTTCCTCGCAAGTCACTCACAGACGAGGCTTCCGCTTGATACCTCCTCCATATTCAAGCCCCAGGGGCCCAAAAGTGACAACAATTACAAGGTTTGGACGACCCGTTCGGGTTCGAACATGAGGTGTGGGCTCCATAGACAAGAAGCTCCCGCCTGAGACTTTCTCACACTTCACTCACAGACGAAGCTCCCGCCTGATACTTACTCCATATTCGAGCCTCAGGGGCCCCAAAGTGACGACAGTTACAAGATTCGGATGACCCGCTCGGATTACCAACATGATATGCGGGCCCCATAGGGAGGGGGCTCCCGCCTGATACTTCCTCACAACTCACTCACAGACGAAGCTCCCACTTGAGACTCCCTAGATACTCGTGAAGGTATTCGGGTGTGGGGGGTGATGATGATGGTGGCGACGATGATGGTGATGATGGTGGTAATGCGGATGATGATGATGATGATGATGATGGTGGTGATGATGATGATGATGATGACGATGACGATGATAATGATGATGATGATGATGATGATGATGATGATGATGATGATGGTGATGGTGATGGTGATGGTGATGGTGATGATGATGATGATAATGATAATGATAGCGATGATGATGATGATGATGATGATGATGATGATGATGATGATGATGATGATGATGATGATGATGATGAGTGTGTGTGATGACTGCGTGATGATGACGATGGTGATGATGATGGTAAGTGCTGGTGAGTGATGACGGATTGATGACGGTGACGGCCAGTGATGAAAAAATGGTAAATATGATATTGAATGGTGACGATGATGATGGCGATGCTGATGATGAGGATGTGTGTATGATGATGGTGATGGTGATGGTGATGGTGATGGTGATGATGATGATGATGATGATGATGATGATGATGATGATGATGATGATGATGATGGTGATGGTGATGGTGATGGTGATGGTGATGGTGATGATGATAGAGATGCTGATGTGGGGTGTTCCTGTTCCTGCGCGGGATTGTCCAGAGAAAGCAAGAACCCCACTTAGGATGTGGGGAAAACAATTTGAAAATTAATGATTTTGGCATTTGGGGGCCCTATTGGAGGTCCTCTCGGAGCGCTCTTGGGGGCCTCCTGGGCTACTATGGGGCCATCTTGGGCGGCTTGGTGCGCTCCTGGGCCGTCTTGGCGGCCTGTGGGCGTCCGCTGCGGGCGCCGAGGAGGGCCCTGGAGGCGCAAGGAACGCCTTGGAGCGTTCGAGAACGAGCGCCGGCGCCGGGGACAAAAGTGGGTCGCGGGTGTGGGGGGGGGGAGTTGTGGACAAGGGGGGGCCCGGGGCCCCAGACTCCCGTTAGATCATATATTTTCAAAGAGGAGCGCAAAACAAATACACCCTGCGAAATGCTTAAGAAATCATGGGTTAAGAAATTCATAGTCTCAGAACTTGAATAAAAACCCATCATTTCCATTCAAATCTTAGGATTTACATTGAAACATTAAGAATCATCGAGACTCTGGCCGAAAATTTAAGTTCTTAAGCATCGCCTAGGGTAAACACATACTTCCTCGGAGGTCCGCGCAGGAACTCTTGGATCGGCGCTGTGCCCCCCCCCCCTGGCGCGCGGAGAGCGCCATGGGGGCGCCCCGGAAGCGCAGTCGAGGGGGGCCCAGCGCCGATCCGAGGAGTCCGCGCGGACCTCCCATGCCGCGCTTCGTTCCCCAACGGCCGATGGGCACCGGTACTCTTTTGCCTCTCGACTGCACTCAAAGAGTGACCCTGGGTCTCCTGCTCCTCCTCCTCCTCCTCCTCCTCCTCCTCCGCCTCCTCGTCCTCGTCGTCCTCCTCCTCCTCCTCCTCCTCCTCCTCCTCCTCGTCGTCCACCTCCTCGTAAGAACGGCCTCTGGTGCGAGGCTTCAGGGGAGGCGCGGCGGAGCCCGCACCCAGCGCGCAGGCCGCTGCTGTCGCTTCGCACGTCGGCGAGCGGGGGGCCCCACGGGGCCCGCGCCAGAGGCCACTCCGGCGAAACGCCACTCTTGCGTGTGGTCGATGCCTCGTCCTCCTCCGGCCGCCGACGAGAGCATCTGGGCTGCCGCGGCTTGCCGAAGCGGTGTCTCCTGGGGTGGCTCAGCACCGCGGTCTCCACCTCTCCGAGGTCCACGCGCGCCCCCCGCACCTTCACCATCGAGCCCAGGCGCCCGACGACCTCGATGTTGCCCACGGTGTCCCACCTGGAGGTCGGTCTTGGCACGACGACGACCAGCGACGAAGGGCAACGAACAGAAGAAGGAACCATGCCGATACCGCTACCCTTCCTTCTTCGTCGCGGCCGGAGACGCCTCGAAGTTCTGGGCAGAACGCATTCCTGGAGGGGCCCAGGGAGCATCGAATCGTAAAATCGGGTCGGATCGGAACCAATACCGAATCGGGCTGCACCGGCTCGGATCGGATCGGCTGCGAACGAATGCACAACGACACCATGCGAACATCGAGCCACGTCGGATCGTCAGAACACCAGGATCGAACTGGACTGAGCTGGCCAGAGCCGACAACGAATCGGCTCGATCGGATGGAGAAGGACCCTGTGGAGGTCGGACTTGGTACGACGTCGACCAACGACGAAGACCAAGGGTGACGCCGTTCTCAAGGGGGACGTTTAGGGGACTGGCTAAGGGGGGAAACATCGGCACTGAGACGATGATATATTGCCGATAATCAAGGGGCCCAGGGACATGCAAATAAATACACACAAATGACGAGATTCCCCATATGTTCCCATATTTGCAGGGCTTTTGTCTTCCCCCACACTTACCAGATTCTCCAATATTTCCGGGGACACACCAAACATACACATAAATAGCGAGATTTCCCACCTTTCCCCATATTTCCCAACCATCCTGTGGTGTTGGGTCCTCGTTTTGAAGAGACGGTGCCCCGCGTCTCCTACTCCTCCCGCTGCCCCCTCCCTCCTCCCTCCTCCCCATCCCTTGCCTCTGCTCTCGGCACACCCAGGGCAGCGTTTCGTGGCCCCATAGGGAGCTCCACCGAAGGCCCCAGTGGCTGCTTTCGCATGCGGTTCCCCCACCCAGGGCAGCGTTTCGTGGCCCCATAGGGAGCTCCACCGAAGGCCCCAGTGGCTGCTCTCGCATGCGGTTCCCCCGCCCAGGGCAGCGTTTCGTGGCCCCATAAAGAGCCCCACAAAAAGCCCCAGTGGCTGCTCTCGCATGCGGTTCCCCCACCCAGGGCAGCGTTTCGTGGCCCCATAGGGAGCTCCACCGTAGGCCCCAGTGGCTGCTCTCGCATGCGGTTCCCCCCGCCCAGGGCAAAGTTTCGTGGCCCCTCCACCGAAGGTCCCAGTGGCAAAGCCCCCCACCCAGGGCAGCGCTTCGTGGCCCCATGGGGAGCTCCACCGAAGGCCCCAGTGGCTGCTCTCGCATGCGGTTCCCCAGGGCAGCGTTTCGTGGCCCCATAGGGAGCTCCACCGAAGGCCCCAGTGGCTGCTGTCGCATGCGGTTCCCCCACCCAGGGCAGCGTTTCGTGGCCCCATAGGGAGCTCCACCGTAGGCCCCAGTGGCTGCTCTCGCATGCGGTTCCCCCGCCCAGGGCAAAGTTTCGTGGCCCCATAGAGAGCTCCACCGAAGGTCCCAGTGGCAAAGCCCCCCACCCAGGGCAGCGCTTCGTGGCCCCATGGGGAGCTCCACCGAAGGCCCCAGTGGCTGCTCTCGCATGCGGTTCCCCAGGGCAGCGTTTCATGGCCCCATAGGGAGCTCCACCGAAGGCCCCAGTGGCTGCTGTCGCATGCGGTTCCCCCACCCAGGGCAGCGTTTCGTGGCCCCATAGGGAGCTCCACCGAAGGCCCCAGTGGCTGCTCTCGCATGCGGTTCCCCCACCCATGGCAGCGTTTCGTGGCCACCGGAGGCCCCAGTGGCGCAGTTCGCATGAGGTTCCCCCACCCAGGGCAGCGCTTCGTGGCCCCATAGGGAGCTCCACCGAAGGCCCCAGTGGCGCAGTTCGCATGCGGTTCCCCCACCCAAGGCAGCGTTTCGTGGCCCCATAGGAAGCCCCACCGAAAGCGGCACCCACAACGCGTTAGGAACAATTGCTTATGGTTGGGTCCTATATTTTTTGGGGAATCGGCGATTCATGGTGTCTGTGTGTGCTGTTTCCCCTCCCGAACTGCCACCGCCGGGGCGGGCCACTAGGCCCCTGCAAGGCGAGGACTGGGCGACCAGGGGGCACTGCGCCCCCCCCCGTAGGAAGCCCACAGAGGACGTACGCGCCCAACTATTTCCCAACCGTCCTGTGGTGTTGGGTCTTCGTTTTGAAGACACTCCTCCTCCCTCCTCCTCCTCCTCCTCCTCCTCCTCCTCCTCCTCCTCCTCCTCCTCCGCCCCGCGTCCTTTTCCTCTCCTCCTCCTCCTCCTCCTCCCACTCCTCCCTCCTCCCCCTCCTCCTCCCGCTCCTCCCTCCTCCCCCTCTTCCCTGCGTTCCACCCACCCAGGGCAACGTCTCGTAACCCCATGGGGAGCTCCACCGAAGGCCCCAGTGGGGGTGCCCGCATGCGGTTCCCCCACCCAGGGCAGCGTTTCGTGGCCCCATAGGGAGCTCCACCGAAGGCCCCAATGGGGGTGCCCGCATGCGGTTCCCCCCCCCCAAGGGCAGCGCTTCGTGGCCCCATAGGGAGCTCCACCGAAGGCCCCAGTGGGGGCGCCCGCATGCGGTTCCCCCACCCAGGGCAGCGCTTCGTGGCCCCATAAAGGGAGCTCCACCGAAGGCCCCAGTGGGGGTGCCCGCATGCGGTTCCCCCACCCAGGGCAGCGCTTCGCAGCCTCATAGGGAGCTCCACCGAAGACCCCAGTGGGGGTGCCCGCATGCGGTTCCCCCACCCAGGGCAGCGTTACGTAGCAGCTCCACCGAATGCCCCAGTGGGGGTGCCCGCATGCGGTTCCCCCACCCAGGGCAGCGTTACGTAGCAGCTCCATCGAATGCCCCAGTGGGGGTGTCCGCATGCGGTTCCCCCACCAAGGGCAGCGTTTTGTGGCCCCATGGGGAGCTCCACCGAAAGCCCCAGTGGCTGCTCTCGCATGCGGTTCCCCCACCCAGGGCAGCGATTCGTGGCCCCATAGGGAGCCCCACCGAAGGCCCCAGTGGGGGTGCCCGCATGCGTCTCCCCCACCCATGGCAGCGCTTCGTGGTCCCATGGGGAACTCCACCGAAGGCCCCAGTGGAGGTGCCCGCATGCGGTTCCCCCACCCATGGCAGCGTTTCGTGGCCCCATAGGGAGCTCCACCGAAGGCTCCACTGGCGGTGCCCGCATGCGGTTCCCCCACCCAGGGCAGCGCTTCGTGGCCCCATAAGGAACTCCACCGGAGGCCCCAGTGGGGGTGCCCGCATGCGGTTCCCCCACGCATTGCAGCGTTTCGTGGCCCCACAAGGAACTGTACCGAAGGCCCCAGTGGGGGTGCCTGCATGCGGTTCTCCACCCAGGGCAGCGCTTCGTGGCCCCATAGGGAGCTCCACCGAAAGCTCCAGTGGGGGTGCCCGCATGCGGTTCACCCACACAGGGCAACGTCTCGTAACCCCATAGGGAGCTCCACCGAAGGCCCCAGTGGGGGTGCCCGCATGCGGTTCACCCACCCAGGGCAGCGCTTCGTGGCCCCATACGGAGCTCCACCGGAGGCCCTAGTGGGGGTGCCCGCATGCGGTTCCCCCACCAAGGGGAGCGTTTTGTGGCCCCATGGGGAGTTCCACCGAAGGCCCCAGTGGGGGTGCCCGCATGCGGTTCCCCCACCCAGGGCAGCGTTTCGTGGCCCCATAGGGAGCTCCACCGTAGGCCCCAGTGGGGGTGCCCGCATGCGGGTCCCCCGCTCAGGGCAGCGTTTCGTAGCCCAATAGGGAGCTCCACCGAAGGCCCCTGTGGGGGTGTTCGCATGCGTCCCCCCTACCCATGACAGCGTTTCGTGGCCCCATAGGGAGCTCCACCGAAGGCCTGAATCGGGGTGTTCGCATGCGTCTCCCCCACCCATGACAGCGCTTCGTGGCCCCATAAGGAGCTCCACCGAAGGCGCCAGAGGCGCAGTTTGCATGCGTCTCCCCCGCCCATGACAGCTCTTCGTGGCCCCATAAGGAGCTCCAGCGAAGGTCCCAATGGCGCAATTCACATGCGTCTCCCTCGCCCAGGGCAGCGCTTCGTGGCCCCATAAGGAGCTACACCGAAGGCCACAATGGCGGTGTCCACATGCGTCCGCGCCACCAATTTCGGCGCACCCCTCACAAGCTTCGTGGCCCCATAGGAACTTCACCGAAACCGGTACCCACAATACGGTACTCGCAACTGCACTTGGTTGGGTCCTTCGTCAGGCTAATATTTGTTCCTCGGCATCAGGACCAAACAAGCCTGCACAGCGTTAAAGCAAAACGAATTATGGTCCGCCGCAGAGAGCCGAGTCTCTCGTTAGTCCCCGCTCTTGGGGCCACGAACACGGCCCCTCGATCCGCGAGACCCGCCGCGCGATGCGAACACTCGCGCAGTGCGCACTCTCGAAACCAGCATGGATCCATGTACGTGTGCGTCCTTCTTTCGCTCCTGACCCTGGGCCCATCCCCCCCCCCAGAGGCTGCCCCTGGAGGTCAACCTCGGCACGACGACGACGACCCGCGACGGAAACCGACGACCACGCCGCTCCCGAAGAGCCCGAGCCCGCCGCGGGCGCCAGGCTCGCCCTGGAGGCCCGCCTGGGTGGGCGATCGTGCGACCGTCAGGAGCGATGGCGCGAGGGAGCTCCTCCGGCCACTGCGGGCCCCAAGACGGCCCAAGCGGCGGCCAGTACGGCCCAAGAGGGCCCCCAGAGCGCCCAAGCGGCGCCCAAGAGCGGCCCAAGAGAGCCCCAAGCGGCTCCAAGACCGCCACAACACGGCTCCGAGTGGCCGCGGAGCCTCCCGAGGACGCCCCCGAGAAGCGGGCCGATGCCACGACCTGGGCCCGAGGAGCGGCCAGGGCGCCAGGGCCCCTCGCGAGCCCGGCGCGGTCCTTGCCTCGGCGCCCCGACCTGTGCTCGGCGGGCCTGGGCCCGACGAGCATCCCGAGACCCTCCGCGGGCCAAGCCGCACGGAGCATGCATGCGGCGCGATCTTATACCTCGGCCTGGGGAGGAGGAGGAGGAGGAGGAGGAGGAGGAGGAGGAGGAGGTGGGGGAGGAGGAGGAGGAGGAGGAGGGGGAGGAGGAGGAGG